TCTAGTTCACTCCCAAGCCTACCTGTGTTTGAATCACACAAACCCCTTTTGTTTCTTTACCTAATACTTTCAGCTTATTTTTAATTGAATGTTAGTCAAGAAATGACAATCATTTATTTTTTAACTAATTTTAGACAAATTTTACTTTGAATTTTTAAAAACAAAAAGAATACAGAAACTTTCAAGGTCAACTGTAAACGTTGTCATAGCAATTACTAGCAGATATCCATCATCATATAGTGAAATGTTGCAAAGTTGAAATTACAAGGACATATGTATATATATTCACAATTGTCAATTGTTCACTAATTTGTCTTCGCGGTTATTCATTTGAAGGCTTCTTTCTTTATGACATTGTTTCCAACTAATTCAATGTAAATTTTCTTATTATTGCCTACCTCAGTTAGAGGAAATCAAGGAGTACAAGATGTCTGTTTCGTCTTTGTTTGCGATTCTTCAGAAATACACTCATCACCCTAACTGACTGACTGGTTTCAAAGTAGAAATTTTCACCCATGTGCAGCAGTTTGAGTCGCCAGACTCCCTCTATGTAACACACAGAGCAAGAGAAGAAAGTAAAAAGAAAGGCAAAATAGAGACAGTAAACATAGATATGAGACAAAAGGAATAGTAATAACGAAGAACAATTTAGTTTCATTGGGTATTATAAGTGACAAGGAGTGGATACATCTACGCCAGCCATTGAGAACGAAGATTTCGATCCATATCACCGATTGTCCCCATCCTCCATTAGTTTTTACTACCTTGAGGACCCCAACCGGTCAGACAGTCTACACCTCCCTACGTGACTGACTTAAACTAACTGTTGTGGATTTCATTGACTGATGAAGCCATATCTTGGTTTGACCACCGGTGGCTCTTTTCTAAACTGATCCATCATATGTCAGCTAATTGACATAAAGATAAGACTTGCGCACTGTGGTACAGTATAATTCCATTATGGGTAAAATTTATTTTGATAGAGTCTCACAGTGTTATTCTCCAAATTCATACAGCTTCGACTATATTGTTAAAGATGGGTTTTAATTTGACTAGAAAGGCTTGATGGAATCCAACAGTCAACCATGAAAGCGCTTCTTCTATCCACCTAGTGACTACTCTCAATCAAATAACATGAAATTGTCCTTCTTATAGATTTTATCTGACCGTTGGTGAACCATGAATAAATGTAATCACTAATGGAATTTTTAATCTGCCTACTTGTTTTCGTCATATAACTTTCTTCATAGGAGCAATTAAATTTGTAAAAGCACATAATTATGGCACAACTAGGGAGCTTATCTTTCACCTTGGCAATGGTAATCGGTCCGCTGGGCAATGGCAAACAATGAGTCATTGTAGACAGTCACTGGTGAAGAACGTCAGTGGGGGTACAGAATGAATTTTTCTTTATGTTTCAATAAGCAGAAGAGCAGATGGTTTTTCTAAAAAGAGATGCTTTTGTAAAGACTACATCTTAATATGAGTATAAAACCTGGGCACTCTTGTAGTAAGTAATTCCTTATTAGTTTGTCTATTAGATGTATCACATAGTCAGTGAGACAGCATTATTCACTGAATGACGTTTTAAAAAAAGGTGTTGTTCATAATCATATCATCAATTATAATCACACGACTTGGATACTTTAGTCTTATAGTCTTATTTGTCCTTTCCTATTTGTCGACAGTGGGGTTTTAGGATTTTCCAGATATCTTGGTGGACAGGTGTTGAATCATTCCTATTACACGTATTCTCTTCAGTTGATTCGATAAACGGAGCTTCCGTTATCAATCTCTCCCTCCACCACGTTAGTTGTATTAGATTTTGAAATTTTCATCTTATCGCATCCTGTTGTGTGTAGTTGTATGTGATGAGTGTTATAGCTGAACTATTCTTTAGATTTCTTATCTCATCAGGGTCAACTAAACTAAAAGGAATCTCGGAAACCTTACTCAGAATTCTTAACAATGCACGGAATAAAAGTGGCTGGAATTCAAACCAACCACAAACGCAATTAGAAACAAGCTTTGTCGGTTAAATGGTGGATCCTATGGAGCCTTTAAAACAAAACAATTTAGTTTATCTAATATCCTGCCGGAATGATTGTTAGGTCGAATACATACGGTCAAAGTAGTAGAACGAGGCCTGTTAGACTAGCGGAGCAAAACATCGTAGCAGCAAAATCTAGATTAGTTGACTTCAATAATAAGATAAGAAATCTAGAGAATAGTTTAGCCATAGCACTACATGCAATTGCACTCAACCATGCAAAAGGATGGGCTAGGATGACAGTTTTAAAATCTAATAGGGTGGAGGGAGAGATTGATAACAGAGGCTTTGTTTATCGAATCAACTGACAGTGAATACGTGTAATAGGAATGATTCAACACCTGTCCACCCAGATATCTGGAAAATTCTACTACCCCATCGGCGACAAATATAGGAGGACAAAGAAAACTATAAATGATTATGAACAATATAAATTTTGTTGGAAACATCATCCAGTACGTAAAATACTGTTTCACTGTGTGATACATCTAATAAACAAACTAATATGAAAAGACTACATCTATTGGAAAATATACATATTTCCTTATACTCGTACCTATCCGCTTTAAAAATTTATTTGATCAAAGGCCTTATAAATGAAACGAAAAGGCTATGTACATATAGCTATTGCTTAAGCAATGATTTAGAATGTATTCATAATACTGCGATAGAAATAGATTATCCTAATGGATTTATAAGGCGAAAAATGAGCATTGTATGTAAGAACGTGAAAAAACTACAATTTAGGCGGTAATTCAATGAAGACCTGATTACTGAAGTTTACTTCAGGGTACACAAATGTTTTCTTTTATGGATGAATTATTTCACCAGGGGGGGGGGGTAAAAAGTTTGTTTGTGGGAGTCACCTTATCACATTCACGTACTTCCTCACCGTATTATTTCAGATTTCATTTAGTAGAATTGTTATGCAGTGATCGGTGAAGTTAAACGATCATAGCCACAAGCAAGGTCTTTCAAGATTGACCAGGAAGGACTAGTTAGATTATTCGAATGCTTTGGAGGACCATTCCAGATAGAAATCATGCCTATGTTGGTAGATTTGGTTAGTGATTTCCATGAAAGTATCGAGCACTTCACTACTGTGTTATTAATGGTTTCATTTGAGTGACTAACAGTTGTGTTTGTGGGAATACTATTGCAATGACAGAAGACAACGGACATGCAACAGATCGTTTATTGAGAAAATCAAGAGATGTTTATATACTTTTATGTACATTATTATTCGTTATTATTAGCAGAGAAACAGTGCCTTCTGATTGGTTGTTCTCTCGTTGAAGGTTATTCTGTACTGCTTGTGACCGTTTCTTAGAAAGTCAGGCTATATATCTGCGAATCATATCCACCCACGCAAAGTCTGCTGTGATTGGTTGTTGAATTCCTCAAGGTTAGGCTTTGTTATTGTTTCTCTCATGGCCCCGATTCGGGATGTAAATATTGACGTAAATTGTTGTCTACAGTTTTGACTAGCAGACAGCTCTCACCACACTATGACACTAAAGCAATACAACCATGTTGGAGATAAATACTGCTATAGATGTAATTCACGTCATAAGAGAAAATCTGTTCATGAGGATAGGTGTGCAACATTTTACCTATTCCTTAGGTACCCTTTTCTCTAAGTCTAAGCTGTCTCTGACGGAAATCCTAAGCCTTATGTACTGTTGGATTTTACAAAGACCTGTAAGGTCAGCAGCAAGTGATACAGAAAATAGCCTAGTTTATGCAGTGCAATGGTATCAGCATTGTAGAGACATAGTCTTATGGAAGTTGGAGGAGATTACCGGCTGTTTTGGAGGAGTAGAAGTAGTCGTTCACATCGATGAAACTGTCCTTATTAGAAAGAAGTATAATAGAGGAAGGTGAAAGGCTAATCAGTTATGAGTGCTCGGAATCGGCGACACTTCACTTTGCAAAAGTTTTGTGGAAACAGTACCTAACAGAAGTGCCGGATCACTAATTCCAATCACCCAACGCTTCATATTGCCAGGAACAACCGTACATACCGACGAATGGAGGGGTCATATTCACTACCGTGTCAATCATCCCTCCGATCTTGTAGACGCAACCATGGGCACAAATACTACTTCTATCGAAGGATTTTAGGGAAGGTTGAAGAAAATAATCAGGTATATCAATGGATCGTGAAATACCATGATTTTTAGCAACATGGATGAATACATGTCTGTCTGTCTTCGGGTACCTGAAATAGAAAGAGGGTTAGTGTTGCGTGACTGCAGAGTCCAGGGGACAACTGCTTGAGGCCAGTCACACACGGCCTGTATGAAATGGTTTCTTGGTTTGGTTCCGTCCGCCGGTTGGGGTTCACCTTTTCTAACTCCATCTCTCTCTCCGGAATGGAGAGACAGCATAGCTGGCTGACATGCTGGTCATCTGAGGGAAACACCTCACTGCTGTTACATCCCTGTTCCCCAACAGTATGACTTCGCCCACAGACCCCATGCATAGTGTAGAAAAAAATTCTTACACTATGCCGGTAACTGCTTTTAGTGTAATCGCTATCCTAACAACCTTCCTGGCATGGTAGGACTTGCAGGAACAATATTTCCAGCCAGTGTAAGTTGCTGGGTCATTGAGATATGCAAACCCGACCACCACATCAAGCAGCTATCGGTAGAGGATGAATACATGTATCGGGTGTGGTACGGTTTCTCTGCTGATTATCCTTGAAGAAACTGGGAGACATTTTCACAACGCATCAGAGACCATTATCCAGTTTAATATCACGTTTGTAACGCTCTTAAAATCTTTTTAAACGATTATGTCACTTTTTTCTGATGTGGATTCTGGTTGGTTGTTCAAGGTCGTAGAGTTTAACTTTGCCCAATGATCTGATATATTACATCGTATGGTGGAATATTAACTTTCTATCTTCTATTTCTTTTCAAAAATAAAATTAAAACTTATTTAGATTCAGCGTAATGTTCATACAATAACACAAGAAAGGGATCAAATTAACAAACTCTACAATGATGTAAGTTGTCATTATTATTTATTCATGAATTATTCGACTATTGTTATTATTCTACTTATAATTATTATCAGTAGTATGAGCATTAAAGATGAAAGAAGTAATAATACATTGGCAGTTGATTGGTCATGGACTGAAATGAGTTAGGGAACCGTTGAAAGCCACTGAGTACTGAACAGTTGTTTCGTAAAGGTTCGTAACTCTTTGACATTATGAACCCTTGAACCCAACCCTGCAGGATTCGGAAACTTGATACCACTGGGTTCCATCTCAGTAGGTGATTGGTCAAAGAAATCGTTACGTAACCAGGAGTTGCTGGCCTTACTCTCATCCTACCCTCTCTTCTCATTCTACTACTGATCAGTAGGATTGGCGGGGTTTAGAGGTGTGTTGGCCGGGATTCGAACCGAGAATTATTGTCAATCCACCGGGGAACTAATCATTTCAAATATCTGGAAAGAACTTTGTCCAAAATCTAATTGATTCACAGTCCCCTTTTTAGTGGATGACCTAGCAACATGTCCGGTGTATTGTGAATTACAGAGAGAGAGGTATTTATTCCTTACTGTATGACACACAGAGCTAACTATCCTGTTATTTTATTTTGAATCTGTAAAATAAACTGGTGTTACTTTGATCAGATGAACTGAGGAGATCTTCAAGTGACGTAACATTCCAGACCCTCCTGTGAAACCTGAATGGAAGGCTGTGGCTATTGCGCCTGACACTTATACTTTACTACTTCCGTATCAGACTGAAGAATCATGTACCTCATTACAATTGGTTAAACAGTTTTGTTTTTACGATCACTTCGAATACCTTGGCACGTTAATTGAGTCAGGGCAACTTGTTTAACGTGTATTTATACTACAACACTCTTGAATGATGTTTTGTAGACATTAATGGTTAACCGACTGTGATATTCTTAGCCAGTTCACTTAAAGTTACCGTATTTCATCGATTTATTATGCATTACTATTATTCCCCTGGGTCCCAAAGGGAACATACGGCTTCAATTCACAGTGCACCGTAATGGTGAGTCACCTAGCATGGTGGCCACATTGCAAGTTTGACTGATAGAATTCAGTCTGCAGCGAAGATAGGACTAGACACATTACACTAGTTACTGACTAGTGTGTAATCAAAAATATCCACTACAGTCCTACAGGAGGTCAAACGCGAGGATGAATAGCTCAGTGGTAACGTCTCTGACTGCAGGCGGCACTGGGTGACACGGGTTCGAATCTCAGAAGGGACATGAGTTCCTTCAAGGTTGCAGACACGCCTTGCTGGTGAGTGCCGGCTAGCACGAAACCTAGGTCTAAGGCTTCCTGCCGATTGCCTCCAACCATCTATTACATCTCCACTTTGTTATCGTTTTCTATTGTCCTCTTCAGGTGGCACCACGAGTGCTCGTATTCTCCCATCTCTTCCACGCGCAGCCTCCTACATGACACCCTAGGGCAAACCACACATCGTCTCCCATTTGGGTTCCACTTCAGGGCTGACTTGGCACGTGATGTCATTAGACAGTCTCCTCAATGTGTTCTCAATTTATCTCCATTTTCTTCTACATACTTCTTGAGCAATGGGCTGTTGGTTGGTTTGTTCCCGGAATTCCCTGTTTCTAGTCGTTTCTTACTATTTGATCTTCGATATGGCCTGAAGGTAGATGTATGTAAAGGCCTGAAACCTGTTGGAAATGCTTTTCTTGACGCGACAAGTTTCTGACCTAAATAGAAGAACTGACCTGACATTGGTGTTGAAAATCCGAATCTTGTTGTTTATGCTGACTGCGGAAGATTTACACACTGATCTCAGAGTAATGAATGTTTGTCTTACACTTCCAATTCTGGCTTAAACATCCTCATCAATACCGCCAGTTGTTGGAATAATGCTTCCTGGATAAGGGAAGGAATTGACCTATTTCAGATTTCTCCCGCTGATAGTGATCAGTGCTTCTTGCTGTTAGTTGATTATCTACATCAACTCCGTCTTCTCTATGTTCACTTAGCAACATAAGCGGACGACCAACCAAATGACCTTGATCAACGAAAGATATTATCAGGATAGAAAATTTTTATCAACAAACATGTTCATTAATTGTAGTCCCTCAGATGTTCTAGAAATGTCTCCCTTGTTTGTCGTTGAAGTTCTTAGTGTTAGTCGGAACCATGAATTCATCTAGATGACTGCTGATCATGTCATTTTGTGACACATTTATCGCTTGAAACAAACATCCACGGAATCATCCAACAGAATCAGTGTGCCTGATATATGATGGATCGAAAAAATCAGAAGAATAATTAACAGTTAACTGGTGGAGTCCAGGACAGGGCGGATTTCGTCCCATCTGGGACTCGTCATCTGGATGGATTTACCTGCATTCCCCAGTCAGTGAGTGATGATGTTCCCACCGAAACTCGAACCCAGTGCCCACAGTTTCCAAAGGCATAGCGTCAGTCACTAGACCACTTGAGCCAAGAGAGCCGCCTCTTGTTCAACGGGTCATATTTTCCGTCGATTCAACTGAATAATTAGCAGTGTTGTGGATATAGACGATGTTATGAAGATAAGCATCTGTAACCTCTTAATTTGTCAGTGTGGATAACCGTTTTGAGCTTTCACAAGACGATGGATTATTACGCCTTCTTAAAATCCTACTATCCAGACAGTATTGAGATATGAGATTAGGGCAACATCTGAAATACGAACGCAACCTGATAAAGTGCTTAGTACACAGAGCAAGAGCAATCTGCTCGGATGAATGTCTTGATGAGGAACTTAATAATATTAAATGGTTGCTGAGTGAAAATGGTTATCCAGAAAGATTTATCGATAAGAATATGAATCTAAAATCAAAGCAGCTCAAGCTACCAACAGTTCCAAAGCAGGCCTTATTCTTACAAATGCAGTGCTTTGGGGACAACATTAGTGAGATACTAACACAGAGCCTTAGAAATGAGGTAAAAAGAGCATTCCCTGTCACTGAATTACGCTGTATCTTTAAAACCACTCCTCTTTTGCGTTCGGGAGTA